ACTGTAAGACTTTTACAGGAAGCAGGACTGTGGACTGCACTTGTCACCCATTATTATCCCTCAGAAACCTAACCATGGTCAGATCTACAGGTGCTAGCCCAGGAACATCCAGCCAATTTGCCCATATCTTTTCACATGTACCTGGGCATTCTCTACGTTAATACACATGTTGCTCTAGCCCCAGGGAATTAACAATACTCTATCCATTCACCTAAGGTGGTGGGTCCTCCGACTTCCAGTGGATCAGCAGCAAATGAGAGCTTTACTAAAGAGGACACTTACAATCACCTCTTTAGTTAAAGCCTCCAAGTCAAGATCATCCAAAATGCTTAAAATATAACTTTCAGGATCTAGTGGAGTCGTAACCTGGAATAAAGGATTAGGGGTATCAACTACCCCCTTCAGCATGGGTGTAATTTCGGGAACCTCCACAGGAGATTAATTAAATCCTCATGGTCCCGTTTATATCTAGTACAGGTGGGATTTTGTTGGATTCCCATTTTATGCAGTGTATGCAGGGTGTAATAGACTCGTAATATATAATTGAGTCAACCTTTGGATCATGTTTAGAGAACATGTCAACATGGAATAGAAGGCATCTTCCCACTGGTTTCCCATAACCAGGCCTTCATCTCTTTCCCACTTCTCGAGGCTTTGTCTTTAATTTAATTATATTTTGCCTTCCCTGGTTCCTTCTTTTCTCCCTCAGCAACACGCTAATGATATTTTTAAATAAGAGCTTTCTTATTTATTTTTTCTTTACGCTCAGTGACACCATCATTGGGTTTCTTTGCTTCTCTATGCAATGCTCAAAGCTGGGGGTAGGGGCCGGCAGGGTGCTGTACATAGCTTCCTGAAAACACTTCAGCGCCCTGACCAGGGATAGTAGCTATAACAGTAGAGGCCAACAGGAAGAGTACATGGGCAGTCCACCCTGGCGGATGATGCAGGTTCACCCGAGGCGCAGGGTCTAAGAACTAACCAATATTCACCAAAGCTCCTGATGGAGGAGATGGGTTTTTCTGCCTGTTAGTACCAGGTCATGGTCCTCAGGTTACGTGGGGCTTTAAAAAAACACTGCTAATACTAGTGTAGTGCCCTTGACTCCCCTGAAGACAGGATAGTACCTCCAAAGGGGGGGACCGAGCTAGCATTTACCTCAGGGCTGAGTCCTTGGCTAGAAAGAGGAGATTAGAACTGAAATTGGGAGCCAGTCACATTATGTCTTTTTCAAAGCTTTAATGTTAAACTTGGAAAGGAGTGGGAGTGGAGCTGGGGCAAACTGACCATTTGGGAACTCGGGCACTGCCCGAGTGCCTGGGGTCAGTAGGGGGCCCCATGAGATACCTTTCATAGGCTTGTTTGGGTGTGGTTTGAGTGTGGGCTAGGACACAGGGGCCCCATAATCCCTTATTGCCCGGGGGCCCCATAAGTTGTCAATCCACCCCTGGAGTGGAGGGTTAGGGGTTTCAGAGGCCACTCAGATCACTTACAGACTCCTTGGATTCCTTCACAGTGTCAGAACCTGTAAGCTGACCCGGCAACACTGCAAGCATGTCTTCAGAGTCTAGTGCATCCTCCAAGCAAGTCACCAGGCCCTTCTGAGAGATCAACCTTCATCCTGGCTCAGTCCAGCAAGAGGCCTCCCTGGATCTTCTCACCTTGGCTCGGCTCACCTCCACGCTGGCCAGGACAGCCTCACAACAACTTCAAAGCAGGTCAGCTCCAGACATGCTTCTGTGCCTAAGCATAGGACTCTGTCCAGCAGCCCCTCCTCAGGCCTTAGCCTGAGGCAAGAGAGTGAGCACATGGCCCACCCCAAATATTATTTCATAATATTTATTCATAGAAATAAATACATATTCATATATAAATAAATATTCATAACTGTTTGTGAAATCGCATACTATGACCTGTCATGCTAGGGACACCTACTGGCAACAGTGAGAAATGCACAACCCAGCTGAGATTAGGGGAAAGCCAGATGAAGAAACTGTATAATCAGTCTGAGCCAACTACAGCTCAGCCAAAAACTAGATTTTCATAGTAGCCCCAGTTTAGGACCGGGGGCTACACTAGTATTAAACTTCATCATATTTTTTTTTTACTTTAGCCCACAGTTCAACATAAATTCTGAAAACCTTATTTCCCACCTGCACCTTATCCTATTAACCCTTTGCACACTACTCTATCCTTTTAACTATAATACTAAGTCAGCCCCATAAATATGGGAACATATGTACCTTTTCTTGGATACGAAGCATCTTGTCTCACGCTGAGATCTACCTGTGTCAAAATCTCAGAGCTTAAAAAAACAATGATTTTCCAAAATGAAATTTTTTTTCGCTACATCTTTCCTTTTTGCTATTTCAAAACATTACTCAATGTTTCTACTTTCATACCTTCAACCTTCCTTGTTCCTGGCATTTCTATGCATCTCTTTTGTTTCTAGGAGGTAAGGTGCATTCGATAGGAATATTTTCTGAATAATTCATCAGCTCTGTCCTGTGTCGGATGCCTGCAAGTTGAAATAGGTGCCTGTAGGGTGTCCTTGGAAAATGAAACAAGTTACCAATGACCCGATCTTCAGGCACAATATTGAAAATAGCTTTTAAAGTGTTCTCATAGTGAGATGTGCAGCCGCAAAAGAGCGATGACGGCTCTCAGTGGAGATAAGGAGGAAAATGTAGATGAAGGTATACAATGTTCAAAATCAAACATCTATATTGTAGTCAGAAGACAATATTAATGGCATTGAAAGGAAAAAAAAGTGTGTGTGTTTTATGTATATATATACACAGTGGGGCAAAAAAGTATTTAGTTAGCCACCAATGAGAAGAGGATTGAGAGAAATGTCATATGGTCAGATGAAATCAAAATAGAACTGTTTTGTAGAAACACAACTCATCATGTTTGGAGGAGAGAGAATGCTGAGTTGCATCCAAAGAACACCATACCTACTGTGAAGCATGGGGGTGGCAACATCATGCTTTGGGGCCGCTTCTTCGCAAAGGGAACAGGACAACTGATCCATGTACAGGACAGAATGAATGGGGCCATGTATCGTGAGATTTTGAGTGCAAACCTCCTTCCATCAGCAAGGGCATTGAAGATGAAACATGGCTGGGTCTTCCAACATGACAATGATCCCAAACATACCGCCCGGGCAACGAAGGAGTCGCTTCGTAAGAAGCATTTCAAGGTCCTGGAGTGGCCTAGCCAGTCTCCAGATCTCAACCCCATAGAAAACCTTTGGAGGGAGTTGAAAGTCCGTGTTGTCCAGCGACAGCCCCAAAACATCACTGCTCTAGAGGAGATCTGCATGGAGGATGGGCCAACATACCAGCAACAGTGTGTGCCAACCTTGTGAAGACTTACAGGAAATGTCTGACCTCTGTCATTGCCAACAAAGGATATATAACAAAGTATTAAGATGAACTTTTGATATTGACCAAATATTTATTTTCCACCATAATTTGCAAATAAATTCTTTCCAAATCAGCCAATGTGATTGTCTGGATTTTTTTTCTCATTTTGTCTCTCATAGTTGAGGTCTACCTATGATGCCAATTACAGGCCTCTCTCATCTTTTTAAGTGGGAGAACTTGCACAATTGGTGGCTGACTAAATACTTCTTTGCCCCACTGTATCATATTGAGGTTATATTCTCACAGATGTGTCAGCGGCTGCATGAGCAAAAAGATGGTGCCATAACAGAGAGGGCAATCAGGAACTGTGTGGGAGGGGAAGTGCATTATGGGGGGAGTATTTTGTAGTATAGTGTCCCATAGAAAATGTTGATTTTGAAAGGAAAGTAAAGGCTTTCTGACAAATCTGTGGTGGTGTACTCAGTTATGCTGAGCACTGTATATACTGTATATATAGAGGCAGAAAAGACAAAGAGAGCGAGGAAAGCCTGCATATGTTTGCCATGACAGGTACTCTTAAAGGGGCAGTTCACCCAAAAGTGACATTTTTTTGTTTTAACAAAGGCTGGTTGGCTGAGTGATCCCCGTCTTCTTAAATATCATCAATATTCCAACATTGAGATCTTCCGGACATGATTACCAACTTTGTTCCTGTCCACTTGGCAGTTTGGGGTTTTCTCTGGTTCTCCTGTTTTAAAAGTCCTGGCCAGGTCATGACTGAGATTCATTTTAATACCGACTTGTCACAAACAAAGATGACAATTAAAAATGACACTTGGAGTGGCCATGTCTGCCCTGCAAGCTGGGGGGTTGTAGGTGGAGAAACTATACTGAGATTCCCTTTTAGAACACAGAGAAGTCAGGAGGGGAGGCAGTGGCACAGAGCCCACCAAACCATTGTCTCAGCCGTGTGTTATATCCAGCAACATATGGCAGGAAGAGAATGCTCATTACCTGACAAATCTTTTTTGGCAGGTAAACCTGTTCCGAAAGATGCGTTTCAGCTGTGCATTTAGCCGTTTGACTGCAGTTGCCATTTTAAGCCGCTTTCTTGTATCGAAGTGTGAAGCATTTTATTTGCTTCTCTGTTATCTGTAACTACAGGCTGTGTAGACATACATCAGGAATTAATTATTGTACATTTTGATGGCAGACAAAATATTCACAGGCTCCCCAAAGAAAATGAGATTAGAGCCGAATTCTCAGTGCTTGGATTTAAGAAGTCGGCGATCCATCCGTATTACACCTGCGCTTGTATTGCTCTCTGGATTACCGCTTTCTATCTTCTGCTCAGATTCGCTCCCATGAATAAACATTTCAAGGAATGAGAAGCTGGAGAGTCATTGTAGGGGAGTGATAGAAGCATGGATGGCTCACTTATTCTTATGCTAAAATGAAAAGTTTGCTGGAATTAGGGCACCAAAGGAACTTGGCTTGGGACTTTTTGCTCAGAGCAACTTAGAAGACTCAGCAATAAAAATGTGTGGACTCACAGATACTGATTACCGAACAGATTGTTACGTAGCCTCTCTGGCGGTATTCCTGAGTGTAGCTCGGGGTAAAGTTTCAGCACCACAAGCAGTAACCCCGAGCTACACTCGGGCTTACCATGCGGCACTGCTCCGGGATCTCTCGATCACTTACCTTGTCCTGCGCTCCCGCAATGGCCCTCCTGCAGTGTCCCCGGCAATGTCCTCTGGCCGATGCCAGCATCTGTCTTCTGGGTTCATTCCCTGCGACGTTGGGACGTACGGGGGACGGAACTGGCGGGAAATTTGAAAATGACAAAAAGTGACATTCACTAAATTCACTAAAATCACATAGTATAACATTACTGTATCAAACCATTTCACATACATTATGTCCCGAGTGCTTTGTCCTGCGCCCTGCCTGCATTTTTACTGTTCTTTCTGCCTGGAAACTGAGAAACGTCCATGGCGTCCAAAAAGCGTCCCTTTATGTCAAAATCAGTTTTAGACCGGCTAGAGAACAGCGATAGTAAATCAGAACCACTTGCAGAATTGAGTGATAATGATTCGTGGGGGAAATTCATCATCAGACACTGAAAACGATTCTGCGACTTTGCTCAGTGATGTGCGAACTTGGCGCTATATTTCAAATTTCAGTGTTTTTGGTTTGATTATATTATTGAATTAAATTTATTATTATATTATTATTGTTCATGATTATTTAAAGAATTATAATTTATGATTTCGTGTTTCAAATTTTAACATACCCGGGATGTTTACTAGACTCTTGTTCGGACAGATTTCAGTGAGTTGTTCCTAAAAATTACAGGCCTACAATAAAAAAAAATACATATTTCCATGCAAAAAAATGTACCGCTTTGAGCACAGAAATACTGACATAATCAGACCGCTAGGGAGGTTAAAGTCCCCAAAAATCACCCTTGCAGTGTGGCCTCCCTTTTACAGAAAAAATGTAAAGGTGAACCAACACCAGACTTCCTCCCCACCCCACCATTCCCCACTGTACTTACTTCCAGGACTGCCGAGTTGCCAGCACCCCCGCAGCCACTCTAGTGGTCTGGGGATTCGAAATCCCCTTTCTGTGATGGATCAGATGGCATCTCATTGGTCTCATTATATGGTGTTTACTAATAAAAATCAATCTGGTTCGATCTGAATTGATCTGGTCCCAAAATAAATGAAAATCCCAGAAAACTACACCCTTAAATAATAGCCTCTTTTTTAAATAGGAAACCTTGCAGCAAAAAATAAAATGTTTCCTTCAACCACAAAATAAAGAAAGAAGTCCCCAATAATAAAGAAGACAGCAAAGGAGTTGATTGCCCAAAGAGCTAGCACAGTGGCTAAATGGTTAGCGCTTTCGCCTGGTAGTACCAGGGTTGTTGGTTTGCATCCCAGCCACAGCACCACCTGCCTGGAGTTTGCATTATCTCCCTGTGCCTGCGTGGGTTTTCTCCAGTTACTCTGGTTTCCTCCAACACTCCATAGACATGCTGGTAGGTTAATTGTCCCTAGTATATGTATGTATGAATGTGAGTTAGGGACCTTAGATTGTGCACCCTTGAGGGTTAGGGACTGATGTGAATGTACAATATATATGTAAAGTGCTGCATCAAATGACAGTGCTACATAAGTACCTGTAATAAATAAAGTACAGTTCTCTTATGGAACCTAACCTCTCCCTTTGCAATTTGTCAGCTTTCCCTGCAACAGTTTTCAATTCACTAACAGTATGCCTGCTCTGCCCCCTCCCCCCCCTTGGAAAGGTATTGGCATTTCCAAAATCCACTTTATTGACTATTCCAAGACTGCTGGCCATAGTTAAAAGTCTATAAAAATCTGCACATAAATGTGCCAGGACAGTGAATCTCAAACCCACAAAATCCACCTTAAAAATGGTAAGCATCCCTAATGAGCTCCTCCTATAACTGGGGAAGGGCTTGATGTTTGAGCTGAACATAAGTTTGACTCGAACTCGTGCTTACAGTGAAGCACTAACACAGAACACAATGTAAAATGGCACACATCACACAGTTAACCCACTGATCATCCCACATGTTAACCCCTACCTGCCCAGTGCCATTATTACAGTGTCAGTGATTTTAATTAGCACTGATCACTGTATTGGTGTCACTGGGGATGTCAGTGACACCAAGTCAGTTCCCCCCCAGTGTCAGAATGCCCACCGCAGTCCCGCAGTCCCATTATAAGTCGCTGATTGCTGACATTACTAGTAAAACTAGTAAAATTTAAAATAACATCCCAGTATATATACCGCCATTTGTAGACACTATAACTTTCACGTAAACTAATTAATTTACACGTATTGGGATTTTTTTTTTTAGCAAAGACATGGAGCAGAATACATGTTGGCCTAAATTTTATGATGAAATTTGATTTTTTTTTTTTTTTTGCTGGACATGTTTAGTAGCAAAAAAGTCAAAAATTATTGTTTTCTTCTCAAAATTGTCTTTTTTTTATTGCGCAAAAAATTTAAAATGCAGAGGTGATCAAATACCACCAAAAGAAAGCTCTATTTGTGGGGACAAATTACATATATTTAATTTTGGTGCAGCCTTGCATAAACGTGCAATTGTCAGTTAAAGCAAGCAACGCAGCGCTATATCACTAAAAATGGCGTGGTCAGGAAGGGGGGTAAATCCTCTGGAGGGCAAGTAGTTAAAGACTCCATAAAATTCTGGATTATACATTAAAACTGTAATACAGAACATCAGAGGATTCCTCCCTGGCCTCTTGAGAATAGAGTGACCTTCCAGTCGGTGCAATTGGGAATATATTTTGCTGTGTAAATACAGGCTTGTTAGCGCTGGTACTTATTTACCGTGACCGAACCAACTCCATCTTGGACGGTGCAGATTTCTTCTTCAACGTAGACTTCCTCCATTTTGTTCCCTAAAGAGTTGTTAAAGCATCTTCTGCTTGTTCTCAATGTACTGATCTTTTATATTGTAACTGTTCTGCTTTCCCCCTAATATAAAAGAATCACATCTCAGCTGCTCATGTGTGCTGAACGGGGAAAACATGAAATAAACCGCTATACAATTTTGTTCTGTAGCAGCATTTCCTATGGAACAATTTTGCTGGCAGGAGTACATCGCAAATGGTGCAGCTGAATCCTTACTCTTCAATTTCATTATTCAAACTTTTAAAACCCCATTGCTCATTCCTGCGGGCTGAATCCAATTAGTTTTTTTATTTTATTTTTTTGTGACAATACAGAGTTGCGGGGAGGGGACAGCCTTCAGGTATGATAGACCATACATACGGTATAAAAACAAGTTGTTTTTATATTAGCTGTAGACCAAACTGTAATTTGGATTTACGAACCAGTAAACATATTGTAAGTAATTTAAGGCAGGATAATGAAGAGTTATTTACTTTCTCCAAACTATAGAAAGTGCAATCATAAAAAAAAAATGTTTCACCACTTAGCTCTCACACCTGTACACTGCCTAACCAACTGCTGTGCACCTCGGTGACACTGCCTTGCATTTTGTTCTTTAACCGCTCAGCCACTGTACATATACGGTGGCAGGGCGGCACTCACAGGCAAAACCACGTTTTAAAACGTGTGTTTTGTAAACAAATAGGGGGCTCGCGCGAGGCGCGCTGCTGCCCTATTTGTCCCGCGGTTCACCGGCGCAGATGTCAGTCGCCGGGTCACAGCCGCTCCTTAGCAGCTCTGTCCCGGCGATCGGCGGCAAACAGTGACAGACAGCACAGCTGACAGCTCGAGAATGAGCTGATCGAGAAAGAACAGTTTCTCTTTCTCGATCAGCCTTGTCCCGCCCAGTACACACCCCGCCCCCTAGTAAAACACTCCCCTCACTCCTATAACCCTTCCCTGCAAAATAAAGTTAACCCCTTCCTCCCCATTGCCATTAGTACAGTGTCAGTTTTTTTTTTTTTTTGCACTGATCACTGTATTAGTGTTTTTGGGGATGTCAGTGACCCCAAGTCAGTACCCCCCAATGTCAAAATGTCTGCCGCAGTCCCGCCATAAGTCGTTGGTCGCTGCCATAAGTCCCTGATCACCACCATAATTCGCTGATCGCCACCATTATTAGTATAAAAAAAAAACCTAAAAATCCCAGTATATATACCGCCATTTGTAAGCACTATAACTTTCACGTAAACCAATTAATTTACACGTATTGGGTTTTTTTTTTTAGCAAAGACATGTCACAGAATGCATTTTGGCAGAAATTTATGACTAAATTTGATTTTTGCATTCTTTTTTTACTGGACATGTTTTATAGCAAAAAGTCCAAAATATTGTTTTTTTTTTTCCTCAAAATTGTCAGAATTTTTTTTTTTTATAGTGCAAAAAATAAAAACTGCACAGGCAATCAAATACCACCGAAAGAAAGCTCAATTTGTGGGGAAAAAAGGATGTAAATTTCATTTATGTACCGTATTGCATGACCGCGCAATTGTCCGTTAAACTAGCGCAGCGCTGTATAGCAGAAAAATGGCGTAAATTGCAGTATCTATACCATAGTTTGTAGACGCTATAACTTCCACACAAAGCAATCAATATACACTTATTGGGATTTTTTTTTACCAAAAACATGGAGCAGAATACATTTTGGCCTAAATTTATAACCAACTTTGAGTTTACTGTATATTTTTTATAGCTGAAAATAAAAAATATTGTTTTTCTTCAAAATGTTTGGCCTTTTTTTGTTTATAGCATGAAAAATAAAAAGCACACAGGTGATCAAATTACACCGAAAGAAAGCTCTATTTGTGTGAAAAAAAGGACGTAAATTTCGTTTGGGTGCAGCATTGCATGACCGCCGCGCAATTATCAGTTGAATTAGTGCAGCGCCGAGTAGCAAAAAGAGGCCTGGTCATTAAGGGGGGTAAATCCTCTGGAGGTCAAGTGGTTAATTCAATCCATAGACAAAAATTAATCTGAAGGAAAAACACTTTTTTTTTTACTTTGGTCAGTTTTAATTAAAAAAAATGTATTTTATTATATTTGTCCCATTTAAAATCACACCAAAATTATGATTTTTGTACAGAACATTGCAAATCTATTTACAAATTAAATAAAGACTTCTTTTTTTAATTTACAGTTTTTTTAAATGCGACACTGTGAAAATTAACAGGCAAAGTGACGTATGGGTATGTCGCTCTGGCTGAACATAGCTGAGCGCAGCACTCGCCACCCACAACTGAAATGAAGATCCCGTGAATGGGACCCGCTGGTCATGTGATTGCCATGCGATCACATGATCACAATGACAACAACGCTGTTATGAATCAATCTGGTTCATAACAGCTCTGCTTCTCTTCCTGGTGAGCTGTGATTGGCCCACAGCTCTCACATGGTGCATGGGTCCAATCTGAACACCCTGTACCATGTGATCAGTTCTAGCCAATTACAGATCACTATT